GGGGAATTCTGGGAGTTGAAGTCCACACATCTTGGAGTTATCAAAGTTGAAAAACACTGGCACAGGGGTGTTGTACTGAAAGGACATGGGGGGTGGAGGTTTGAAACTGAAAAACTAGCAGGAGGACCATCCCATATTACTGAAGAAAGATGGGAATGTTAAAAAGTTAATATATCTGCTTTTTCTCTGTAGTACTGGGTCAGCTATGTATCTTTATCCACAAATATTTCATCAGCAAACGTACAGAAATGAAAAGGGGCTGAGTCTGAAGGATGTATATCTTGAGTTGTCCTTCATGAAGTTGGCAGTTGAGAAACGTATTTTAAACAGTAAGGGAGACTTCTTTCTCATCCCATAAATTGAATGAAGTTGATTCTTGGCTAACAAAAGTACTGTACATGACAGAATAAATCAGTTTTTATCCTTTTGATGGACATATCTTCGTAGGGGGTGATCCTTCTAAATTACCTGTACACTTAAAGCTAACTGAAATCATAAAAGTGTTGCATTATAGGTAGAACCCCATTGTGCTACTGACAAACTTGCAACTCATCAACTATCAAGAACAGTGCAATTGCAAATCAATTTAGGGCACTATGATCATAATCCCATACTACTGTATCAGGAAAAGACAGCTTGCATGTTTACTACAGTTCATGTAAGCTGAAGAAAATGTACATTTTTCATGTGTAAGTATCGGTTATCTCTACCCATTTTCCAGGTCACTACAGCAGGTACCTATAACATTTCCATCTTATGTCCAGTTTCTGGCATGAATGCAATGCTGAAATAATATAATAAAAAGAAGCCAAACATGCAATCCATAAGGGATTATTTTCCTTGATGGTTTTTATTTCCATCTTTTACCACATATTAGATAGTTTTCTCTGTCCTTCTGAAAATTAGAGATTAAAATCAATTGCTCAGAATGTAGGTTTATTGCTGCAGACATATCAAAGTCTGCTTTGCCGACAGAACGAATGTGATAAGTGATTTGTATACAAGATTGTTAGTTAAACCACGATACCAGTAGAATGTGGGATTCTGCTGACATTTTAATGTTTGGGCAATGTTGAAACAGATATTTTGCCAATGAATTCTTGGTTATAGTTTCCAAAGTTTTTTTAAAAATAGCATTTATATTATTTAATTCCATGCTCTATTGTGATAAAGGTTAAAAAGAAATTATCTCCCATGCTATTTACACACTGATTTCAAATTAGGTTAATAACAATATATATCTATACGTATACATATAGATATATTCATTCCTTCTGTCCCTTCAGACATCACATCATTAAATGACTCCAATCTGTCCTAAAAAGCAAAATCTTGCTGATAAAGGATTGCTCCAAAATGTTTGTACATTCAGGTATAAGTCTCTTGCATGAAGCTTGCTTATGTATAATTCCATGGCTCAGTTCTGGGGAATTTCTATTTTATAGGAGTAATAATGGACACAACTTTCACATTGCCTTTCACACAACCACTTCTGCATGTAGCCATCATATGTAATGTTCCAAGAAAACAACATAAAGCAAAAATGTTACTGTTGTTAACAGGAGTTTCATCTTAGCAAATATTCCCTTGCTAAAAGTAGAATTAAAACTTGTAGTGGCCTAGATTTGCAAGTACAAGCTCATTTAGTTGAATGGTTTGTGGGACAACTGAAATCTTTTACTAGTCAAAGTTAATTTGAAAAAGGAATATAGGATTACTGTGGTATGTAGTTATAAAAGTACATGCTCTATAATGAGGTAGTCCCTATAATTAGGTTCCTGTTATAATTTCCATATATCATTAAAGTCTTACATGGCAAAAATGCAAAACTACAACAAAGTGTGAATATCATTTAATAGTTTTAGCAAAAGATGGCAGTTCTGAGACTTTGTATTTTATGTCCTTTAATGCTGAATGTATCTGTTGCCCAAGACTCTAAAACAGGATATGTTGGTCATGCTTTGTAAAATATGCATTATCATTACAGTACAATGAAATATTTTGTTACTAGATTTTTTAAAAATCATATATTTCAAGATATTGAAGAGCTTTTTTTTTTTTTAAAATCAAATGGTGATGTATTTCAGAAGTATGGCTATTATCTAGAGCAGTGTTTCTCAACCTTGGCAGCTTTTAAGATGTATGGACTTCAACTCCCAGGGAATTCTGGGAGTTGGAGTCCGTGCATCTTAAAGTCGCCAAGGTTGAAAAACATTGATCTAGAGAGATGTGAGGGGCAAACTGCTCACTCCAAGTTTCAAAAGCTGTTGAGCATAAAAAGAGGTTCACTGGATTGTATTTCAAATAATCTGAACCAAATGTGCAGTCTAGAAACATGAGTAGTGACAAACAGCCAAACACAAGCATGTTTATGCAAAATGTGCTGCTGAATTCAGTGAGGCTTTGTAATTCCCAAGGGAGTACGCTTAAGAATGCAGCTATGCAATTTGATCCGATACATGTTTACGCATAGGTAAATCCCCACAAGTTCAGTGGGACTCACACTGGAGTAATTGTGCATAGGATTCCACTTTGTATTTATAAATGAAGTTGGGCATATACATATCTAGTTAGAGGTATTCCCCACTAAGATCTGTGAGGCTTTTTTTCCAAGTGAGTGTGTGTAGAATTATACCCAAAATGGAGGAATCAGCCAATTGTTTTATTCATTTCTTCATCTTCTATAACTGCATCCTCATTTGCATGTCTGCTGATCCTACTGCATTCCATTTTAAAACAACTAAAGGTAGGCTTGAAAACTTTAATATCAGCTTTTTTGCTCTCCACGCTTGCTTTATATATCATGCAGCAACCTGATCAAGACTCTCTAAACTTAAAAAAATAAATCTGTTTTTGGGGGGGAATCTTAAATGTGTTTGATAGAAGTGTTCAGTTTGACTTGCTTTCTAGTTCTGTTGAAGAAATGCTCTCTGAATAAAAGTGTATAGGATCAGGGTGTGTGTCCCTTTGATTTCAACTGAATTTAGCTGTGACTAACCTTTACTAGACTGTCTCTGAAATGTAAACCCATATCAATGGCACAAGCATTAGTTCAGAAACTTCAGTTCTAATAACCTTAATAGAATTAAATTGGAAAGTATTATGCTAAATGAGAAAAGAAAAACTTGAGCTCTGTTATTGACTAATATTTCCTTGTATTTGTGTGTGTGTGGTATGTGTGTTTAATAAAACTGGGGTGCATATTTATTTTTCATCATTTAACTTAGATTTTGATGATTTTTTTTTCCTTTAAACAATCTACTATATTAAGAAGATCTGATGGTGGAAAAATGGAAAGGCAGACACATTTTTACCATTTATCATTGTATTTAGTTAATAATAAATGGAAGAAAAGCACTTCACTATTTCACAATACTTACAGGAAAAAGAAACTATTTCATTACATTGGGAGAGAAATACATTTTCAGACAAGGGAACATTTACCAGCAGTACTTGAAAACGTGTGAGTTTTGACTGCATGTTACTTGAAAGATCATACTAAGCTACTCTTTGGTGCACAGCAGTTGTATATGATTTCTTGTTTATGTAGCAAGATGCATTGAAATTGTATTGAAACATACATGTAAGGATTGTTATTGTGGAGATGGTTTGTTCTGTTTTTTTATTCTTCTTGTGTATGTCCTATCTGTTTAAACCTTAAATGTTTCTTTTAAAATGACCTAAAAAGGCAAGATAAAGTTGCTGTCATTGGAATAATGTATTTTAATTTTTTGTCATGGCTTTTTCCAAAAAAAAAAAAAAAATTACAAAGTGTATCATTCCTGATAATACAGAACATTGTGGATGGTTTCAAATAAATTTTATACTTCTATTTTGCAGGTGGTTGTTTTAATTTTTCTTTCATTTAGAGTTTACTTCTTTCTACTCGAGAAATAGAGTTAAGAGGGTGTCCATATCAGTGGAACAAAATTAAACTTAGTAATAGCTGGAAGATACAGATAGAATTATCTTGGATTCATTATTATTGTTCTTTGAATCTTGTTTCTAAAAGCAGTGATCTGGAAGCATTAAAAGGTGCAAGTGGTTATCTCTGCCTCTAGTAGTTGATCATAATTTCTTTGGTTCAGTTCTCTGTTTAAAGAAGTAGGCCAGTTAGGACTGGTCAGCTAGGAACACTGGTACCAAGGATCTTATTGGTATCTAGCCAATCTACCTACAAAGTTGCATATTTAATATGGAAGTATGAATTTCAGTCACTTTCAGATATCCAATTATGCTTTGCTAGAGCAAGAACGTAATAGAGCTGTGTCCTAGGAGTCCCCTTTATTGTGATGACGTGGATATGTAGTTCTGTTGGCAACAATAAAGAAGTGATTTGTTGCTGCCTTCTTCAAAGGGACATTTATATGTGTATACATGCACAGGCACATACGCATATATATACATAGATGTGAGCACAAACATACCTACACATCCCTGGTGGTCCCCTATCTAGACCCAACCTTGCTTAGCTTTTTGGGATCAGCACATGTTGGGGTTCTATATTGAAGACAACAGAGCTTGTACTGCACTGCTAAAAGTAGTGTATTATTTTTATTTCCATAAGGATGGAAATTGGGAAGCAAAGTAAGTGTTGAAACCTGCTGAAAGATGCAACCTCCCTACTTTTTTTAAAAAACTCAAGAGAACAAGTAAACAGTGGATATCAGCTCTTCTCCCTCAAACAACTTCACAAGGATGCATTTGTTGCAGCCCCCAGAATAAATAATAAAAGTGTGAACTTTGGATTAAGCCCATTCCTTCAGCTAATTGGCTTTTCTACACTGGTGACAGAGTCCCTTAATGTTTTGAGGTCCATAGGTGTTTTAAGATTTAAGAATGTTGCCATCAGTGAGCATCAAAAAATGGCTGCAAGGAATACTAAGTCAGCATCCTAAAACAGCTGCTGTGGAGGGGTGCTGCATCACAAAATGACAAAATGCTAAAAGTTGGATCTAATTAAAAGACATTAATGTGCATACTCTTTTGAACCCATTCAACACCAATTAGTTAGTTACATTGATGGTACTACATGTGATGCACAACATGAATTAAAATATTTTAGTGATTTTCATATGAAGTGCCAATAAAGATACACACAATAAACAGTTTTTCTGATTCTTCCAGAGTTATGGGAAAATGTCAAGGTAGGAATCTGGAATTTATTGCATACAAAATATGTGCTGTATCACTGAATGTAGCCCTTTTTTTAAAAACTAGTGCATAACATTCATTAGAGCATACAGCTGCCAAGGAGACAAGCTCAAAGGTCACCTCACAGTATTTCTAAGGTATTATCCCTGTACTTTTAACAAGCTACTCTGAACTACACATATGATGAATGTGAATTCTGGGGTGCAGTTATGTATTTTACCAAAGACTCTGCAACAAATTTAAAAATGCAACAAATATAATTTAGCCAAATATAAGCACATTTAAGTCCCATTAATTTCAAAAGGTGGAAGCTAATTCATTTATATTTCTCCCTGTGGCTAAAAAGGCTTTTATAGGCAATATTTGCATGATGCCCATGATTAATGTCATTGTGGTTTATTTAACCCAATTTTCTGGAGCGTGTTTATATATCCGTCCAAGGCTGGGTTTGCGTAATACAGTAAACCACAAACTAGCAAACTACATTTTATCCTAGTCTGATATGTGAACCTACATGCTAGGTTTACTGTATTACGCAAACCCAGCCTTGGACGGATATATAAACACGCTCCAGTTGGGCCACCTTTTATGGTCTTTACCTGGAAAAACATTTATAAACAAGACCACGGCCACACAGCCCGGAAGACCCACAACAGCCATTTATAAACAGTTTATGTCCTGAGATTATCTTAAATGATTAATATGCTTCATGACGATGTCTTTGAAGAATATTTAGAAATTCTAAAGTTTCAGTGCAAAAGCACTATGGTACTACATAACACATCTTGTAAGAACTTAGTACTACACTGGCTACCACTTTATCCAGGTCAAAAAGCTTGGGATGAGAGTATTTGAAAGAACATTTTTCCCACATGAGCTTTCTGGTGACCTGAGATCTTGGTTTTTCACCTTCTGAAGTAGGAGATGGAAGCTAGAGATACTGGGGTCAACTATTTCTCAGAATTCCTTTCTTTCCCAATTCTTTGGGGTCTTTCTGTTATTTAAATGTTCCTTTTAAAAAATCCTTTTTTAATGAAGTTTAATGGAATTTTAATAATTCCTGGTTGCTTTTTTCCTGTAAATTTGCTACCTTGAACTATTAATATGGTTTTAGAACCTTTATGGACATGACACATAATCAGAATAAGAACCTCTGAAAACTATGAGGCTTAACTCAGTTGAGCATGCAATATCAAATAAAAACTGACAGCAGCATTTTAATATTGGTTTTAATAATGAATGCATCTGTATTTAGAAGAGTACTTAATATTCACTTAATGAGCATAACCAATATGTCACCTAGCCAAATGATCATGTGTTCAATGTTTCACCATCTTCGGTTTCATATATTTCGTCCATCCTGCATCACAGTTGCCACTCAGCCTCAAACGAATTAAAATTATAAATACTAAAACAATGCAATCTTTTAAAAGGAAACTTAAAGCAACAACGGCGAAATAAAATATATATCAGCATAAAAATATTGTGTAAGGAATTTAAAAAGCGCGGGGAGCATGAATCTTCACTAGGGGACTCTCCTTAGAGCAGTGTTTTTCAACCCTGGCAACTTTAAGATGTGTGGACTTCAACTCCCAGAATAAGCATGCTGGCTAGGGAATTCTGGGAGTTGAAGTCCACACACCTTAAAGTTGCCAAGATTGAGAAACACTGCTTTAAACGTACTGAAACAACGAAGTTCTTGGATGGAGATGAAGTGTTAAGCGCCCGATCAGAGGTTGCGCAAAAGTAGCACGTTTTCCTCTGCCCGGAAGCAAAATGGCGCACTTGTCACCTGCCTCCTAACAAGATGGTGGCAAAATCTACGTCAGGCAACCCAGTTAACGGTTTTTCTCCTCGCGCTCGCTTCGGGAGAAACCGCTTCCTTCAGCGCATGCGCCCTGAGACTCCATTCTTTGTTTTGGACACTGTAATCCCAGCCTCCCGGAGCACGTGCGTGAGGGCGAGAGCGGCTTGACTTTGAAACGTCACTCCTGTGCGCGACGGCGAACTCACCCAACTCCCCTCGCACCTCGCGCGTTCTTTCTGCGCCTGCGCCGTAGCTCTTTGCCTGGGGGTGCTGGAGGAGTTTGAAATGGCTTCTCGGAGTCCGTCTTCGGCCCGTTTCAGGTAAAGGACCGGGAGGAGAGCGGCGCGATTTCACGTGCGTGGGGCCGGGGGGTCGGGCTGGTGCTTTTGGGAAGCGGAGAGCCTTCGTATTCCTCAGAGCAGGCTTGGGCGAGGAATGGGGGAGAGCGGGAGAAGCACTCCTGGGGCGGCAGGCCTCGGTCTCGCATTGTGGCCAGGCCGGGGGGAGACGGCGGACCGGGCTGCTTCCTTCCTCGCCGCTGAGGACGCTTCCCCGAGGGAGTCGGAGGCAGATCTGACCCGGGCCCCCAAGAGGCCTGTCGTTGCCCTTCCTAGTCCTTTCGCGGAGCCTTTGCCTTGTTTGCGGGCCGGGGCGATTAACCAGCAGGAAAGTTTCTTCTTTGTTACGCTCTCTTGCTTTGGTTTCCTTCCCACAGATTCATTATTGAGTACGTTTTCTTTGTGTGGGTTGATTCCATGTATGTTTACTCAAAGGGAATCTGGGACTGAGTGAGTCAGGCTTGCTATTCCGCGGAGACCAATACAGCCTCGCTTAGTTTTCCATGAGCGTGAAAACTTCCAGTTCTGGTTCGGAATTTTTGAAAACCTTCTGTTTTTATTTTTGTTCTCCTAACTTGTATGGATAGGGCCGTTTAGCAATGGAGACTGTGTTTCATTTATAACCTGGGTGTATTGGTGTCTTTCCCTTAAATTCAACTGCTTTCTTGGTTTATTTTTCTGTTAGGCTCAGCCTTCTTTTGTTTAGAAACTTCTTTAAGTTATCTGCCTGCACAAGCAATCTTTGCTAAGTGCATCTGGATGACATGTTTGTTTATTGCCACACCATTTAATTGTTAGAAAAATACTTTCCCTTTCTTGAATGCAGTGTTGAGGAACCTTGATACTGGCAGGATTGAGATGCTTTTTCACTTAACAATGACAGTTAATTTCCTAGATTTCCATGACATATTAAACCACAAAGTGACCATGTGGACTGCATATACTAGGTTACATGTGATTAGCTAGCTTATGTTTCAATGTATAATGTAAGCACAACTGCTGGATCATATTGGAGATACATTTTCTTACTAGAAAAACAACTTTCAAGTGTTCTTGATGGTTCACTATTTTTCACTAGAAACATTTACTGTCAGCTTCCTTTCTCAGGACATCCAGTTTGTCATACTTTCATGGTTTCCCTTATCACAGCAGACATAGTTTTCATCTATAAAGCCCTTCACGCACTGGCCAGATTACTTGTGGGACCACCTATCTCCAGTTGTCTCTGCTCGTTCCAAGAGATCCAGCAGCAGGGTGTGCTTCAGGTCCCTTCTCGTCCCCTGGCAGAACCCAGGAGGCATACCTTCTCCATTACAGCAGCTGCCCATGGAACATCATCCCCTCAAGGTTCAGATGGCTCCAACCCTGCTGGCATTTTGTACAGTAAAGTCCTAAAAACCTGGTGCTTCCCCTGGCTTTGGCCACCGTACAAGATGAAACTGTCTAGAATAAAAGATTTTTGAATGGACTATGCAACGACTAGCCTTGACTGTTCTGTTTCCTTTTATTTCATTCTGTTTTTCTTTTGCTTTCATGCTTCTGTACAATTGTAAGCTGCCCAGAGTCACTTTACAAGTTGGGCAGCCATATAAATCACTATTAATGCACATGTATGTCACATATATATAGCTAATTTAATTTTGTCCATGATTCAGGAATTAACTGCATGTTAAAGTATTAATAATCAACCTTTTTTTTTTTTAAGAAACTAAAACGGCAGAAAGATTTTACCTGTCATAATGGCACAGTTTGGAGGACAGAAAAATCCCCCTTGGGCTACTCAGTTTACAGCTACAGCAGTTTCTCAGCCAGGTTAGTTTGTACTTTCTTAAACAATAACTACTACTTCTCATTTCTTTCTGATTGTCTTAGTAGATGGAAATAAAACAAATGTAAAAGAATTAGCTCTGAAGAAAATTTAATCAGATTGAAAACAATGCAGATGTTAATTTTGAATAAGAAATAAGTTGCACTGATGAATGGCTGTAAAATTTGTGGAGAAGTAATTGTAAGCTTTTATATCAAGGTTTACTTATGACTGCTGTATTTTTCATTTTGTCTTGATTATGTCTGATCAGGAAATCTCTGAAATTTAAGCACTACTTCTTAGTTATATTTTTGTTTCCCATGTTTAATTTCTCAGTCCCCCTCTTCTGTCCCATTTATTATGTAACAGAAATATGCTCAAATATTCCTTAAAATACCCGTTTTCAGCTTCATATCTATTTTGGGTATATAGTGGTGTTCAGGTATACAAATGAATCCTGACAAATATATAATGGCACAAACAGAACATTCAATATTATTTTATAGATGAATTGTTTAAAACCTGGAGGCTGTGCTCACAAGTTAAACTCATTGAATTATGGTTTGTTTTAACAGTGATTTATTTAAGCAAGCCATAGTGGTTTAGTTCCAGCCAATAGTTTTTAGGAAGAAGAGAGTGAACAGGAACAGGAATTTTACCTGGTGCTGCTGAATTTGTGAGCTGTTAGCTGCATTTAAGAAGAATTGTTTGACGTATTGGCTGAGACTGTGTTTTTCTGACTGAATGCAGCACATGTCTACTTGCTAAACATATATTTTGGGTGGTAGTGGTGGTTTACAACTGCAGTTGATCAGCTGATCAAATAATTAGCTAGTGAGTGAACCACTTTCCCTAGGCAAAAGTTTAGTTCTGGCCAGCAGTCTTGAGAATGAGGAGGAACGGTTGTTCACATGCCCCAAACAGGTGAACAGGAGGAAAAACAGGGACATTTTGAAAGGGAGTTTAGAAGGGGAGGAACACTCTGACCTCTCCCCAGCAGGGGAGAGGGCCATTTAAAGTTTTCTTATAGGGTGTCAAATGTATGACTATTTGCCTATTAGGTGTAAATTGTGGATTTATGGTCAGTGCAAAAGCTTTTGACTCGCAGAGAGCATATATTTTTCCTTGGAAACAAGGCGGCCAAGATGGAGATGCTTAGAGAACCGGAGAAGTATATAGATAACACGTTAGAATGTGATTGACTCCCAGAACGATATCACCTTTGTTGTTAGGGAGAATGAGGACGTTGGGGAAGAATATAATTTTGAAGACAACAAATGTAGGGACCCAGTGCTTGGATGATGAACCCATATCCTCTCATACTGAATATATTTCTCCGGGAAAAATGCAGAGGACTTTTGGTTGTGAGTAATTTGATCATTAGAAACAGAGAGAGATGTGTTTGTGACAGGCATGTAGATTGCGTGATTTGCTTGTGTGGTACAAAGCTTGCCGCCATCATCACAAACAATCTAGATAAACTGATGGATAATTCTCAGGAGAAGGCAACAGTTGTAGTTCATATTAGCAGCCGTGACACTGAAAAATGTAGAAACTAAATTTGGGCTGCTAGGTAACAGATTGAAATCCTGAGTTGCTAAGGTGGTCTCAGAAATGTTACTTGTTCCACGCACAAGGGTAGCTAGACAAGTGGAGCTCAGGTTTCTCAAGACATGGATGTAATAATTTGTATTTGTTAGGCACTGGAGAATTTTGGGGGGCAAGCCAAATCTGTGTATGAGAGACTAACTCAACTTGAACTGAAGTGAAACCAAGTTGCTAGCACATAGCATCAGGAAAATGATAGGCCAGCTTTTAAATTGATCTTTGGGTGAACCCAACTGATACTGAATAGTATCCTCTTTGCAAGGTTGTACATGATTCAAAATATAGAGATAGGGCCATTGTTGGAAGTGGGTTAATGGAGGGATATGATAGGAGATGTAACTGGGGCTCTTTTGCATTATTTTGGCCAGGAGCCCAGTGATCACTGTGGTTGTGCATGCCAGTAAAAGATACTTTATTGTATCTATTGCCAAACACTTCAGTTCCTTATTTAAATGGGCATTTTTCCCACAACCAATATAAATTCATTGCATTGCTATAGAAGATACAGGACATTAACTTTCTTAGAAAATTGGAATAGTTAAATAGAACTGAAATAAAAAGAGAAGATACTCTAGGATATTTTGAAAGATTATACAATAATTAATCAAGAGGCCCGGATGGCACCCACCCATGACTATTGAAGAGCTCAAATTGGACACTGCTAGTCTAGCAAAAATGGTAACTTGCCTGTCAAATCAGACTAAGTGACAGAGGACATGTCCTCTTGAGTAAACCTAGCATTACCAGATAAAAGGACCTGTACTTTTATGGATTACTGATCAGTTAAAAACCAGAAAGCAAAGGTAGGTTCAAATGGGCAATTGTCCCAGCAGAGGGAAGTAAGAAGTGGAATCTCTTTAAGGAACTGTGCTGGGCTCTTTAACTTATTCATAAAGGACCTTAATTTACTTAAGCAGTTAGTTGGCTGAGTGTGCAGAGGAAATTAAATTATTTGGGCTGGTGAAAGCCAAAAGTGATTGTGAAGAGCTCTAGAAAGAATGGGTGACGAATAGTTGATCAGATGGCAGATCATTCAGCTTAAGCAAATGTGAAGTGATGTACCTTGGGAGAAAAACCTCTGAGAGGGTTTGAGACAGGGTCTGAGCTGTCTGAAACTAACCTAGAAAAAGATCTTGATGACATAGATACTTCAAAGAAAATGTTGTCTTTGTTTGACACCTGTGAAAAAGGTAAATTCTAGGGATCATTGGGAAGGGGATTAAAACACAAACAAAACTTGTCAGTGTTGTAACATTCTTATATGGATGTGAGGTGTGTCCAAATCTGGAATTCCGTATACAATTCAGGGTGTCACATTTAAGAATGGATATAATGGAGCTGGAAGAAGTGCAGAAGAAGGCAAACAAAACTATCGGTGACACAAACACCTTTCCTAAGAGAAAAGTCTTGAGCCTTCAGCTCAGAAAAGTGACTGAGGTAGAACATGATCAGGGTGTATAAAATAAAGCAAGGCATAGATAGTGAACAAAGAGTTTTTCTCCCTCTCTGAAAACGCTAAAGCTGGGGTTATCCGGTGAAACTGATTGGAAGGAGAGTTAGATTAAATAAACTGTACACTGTGCTTAAGTTATCTGGGGAATTGATTAACACAAGGTGTGGTGATGGGCAGAAACTTGGATAGCTTTAAACAGGAATTATATAAATGCAGGGAGGTCTATTAAGAGTTATTAATTTATTTCCTTATCTTTGTTTTTGCTTGTTATGTTTGCATGTTTTACTTACCTAATAAAAATGATGTTAAAATACCAAAAACTTCAATGGATTTTAGATTACATCGTTTTCAGCAAGAAATAATATTTCAGAAATGACTTTATTGTATTTATATAGAAAAGTCCTAAATAAATGGTTATATTGTTGAAGTTGTAGTGAAATTAATGTTTTATTTAAATATGTTTCTACGGTGTTCCATTTGGGAAAGAAGTTATTACATGCATTAACTCAGCTTTGAAGTTCAGTATTTTTAGACATTTATATTCTTTTGAAGCTTATCCCTGTCTCATGGGAGTTGACATCTGGACAAAGAAAGTGGATTTTCTGTACCTTACTTACAGCTAAAAGACTTATTGTTCAGCATTGGAAAGATAAACATATGGTTCCAGCTAATCAGCAGTTTGCCAGATCGATCAGTATAGATTAGCTATGGATGACTGTAATAAATTATGGCTTCCATTCATTGAAATGTTTACTGTACAACTTTATGTATGTCTGTGAATATATGCTCTGTATGGTTTTTTTAGCTTTCTTTTTTTCTTCTTTATAATTTTGTGTGGTTTTTTTTTTGTATTTAACTCTTTTTTCTCACCTTCAAAAATTATTAGTTTAGAAGACTGAGTGTTACTTCTGGATTTGGGTCAGCATGCCTTCAAATACAGGTAGTCCTCATTTAGTGACTGCTTCATTTAGTGACCATTTGTGATTATGACGGTGATGAAAAAGTAACTTTGCGACCAATTCTCTCATTTATGATCTTTGCAAGTCTGTAAAACAAAAGAAGGCTGAAGTAAGATCGTAAGCACAGTTGTGGTTTCACTTAGTGACCGCTTTGCTTAATGACCAAGTTGCTGTTCCCAATTGTGGTTGCTAAACGAGGACTACCTGTAGTTGTAGGGGAACATTAGCAGGAGAAATGTGTTGTCATTTCCTGCTTGTAAGCACCCCAAAGATATCTGTTAGAAACAAAATTTTAGAATAAGGTAAGCCTTGGTCTGATCCAGTAGGTTTAATTATGTTCTTATGGTTCACATAATGGTGAATATAAACCATCATTTGCAGACCACAGTATCTGTGGGCCAGTGATATTGCTTGGCATTTCTCATATTTCATTGCTTAAGGCCTATAGTTATCTCACCTTAATCACTCAGTGTTTCAAGGCTAAATACAGTGGTACCACTACTTACGAATTTAATCCGTTCCGTGACTCTGGTCGCAAGTCGAGTTGGTCGCAAGTTGAGGTAAATTTTCCCATAAGGTTCAATGTAAATACG